CGAAAAGTCCGTCCCACTGAAGATCGCGTAGGGGAACCTCTACCAAGAAAAAACCCAATTCCGTGCTTCGCCGGTGTCAAGCCGTCGTAGATGAAAACGGTTCTGCGACAAAGTGCTGATGTTGTAGTTGTTACGTCTGTTATTATATAAGTCATTTTGTTATTATTTTTGAATTTTAGATAGATTGAATTTCGAACAAGTAATATGGTATTGGACCGAAAAAAAATTAAAAATTTCTAAATTAGTATAGAAGCCACCTAGACAACTGAAGATTTGCTTCCTTATCAGGTAGAGTGATGTGTTCTCACCTACAAAAAATCGGAACAAAAGCTTGAGTTTTGAGGGAGTTACGTTTAAAAAAGTGAAAACGAATACTTCACTGCACGGTACTGTAGTTTGAAGCGCTGAAAGTGTTTCAGACAGCGGATAGCATCTTGTCTTTTTCTAGTGTAGACGTTTAGAACTAAGCTTTTGAATGAATAGAAAACCTCCTAGTTTCGTCATTAACAGTTTCTTCGTTTTTTTTCACTAGGCTCGCCCAATGTACGTCGTTTATTCACATTAGTAAACTTGTTCAGTGCAATTCATTGCAATTTTTTGGTCTATTTCCTGTAACGCACTGCGCCATGGAAAGAAGTCACACGAAGGCGACATAAAATCGCTAAAGCATGTCAAATTGATATGTTTCGTTCTGTATTCTAGAGTAGATACTCGCTGCCCTTTCCCTACGATTCTTTTGCAGGACGCGTTGCCTTCCTATGCCATACTGATCACTACGAACCAAACCAACAACCACTTTCCATTTAAATTTTAATTCCAGACAGTTGTAAGATATTATTTGCATTAGGCTAACTACAACACTTGTGAAACTAATGATGACAGCAAATAAGTGGCAGCAGCACCGTTGTGTCCGTTGATGAACCTTTTGATTACGACCCCCTCCCAACTCTCATCGGAGCAAATACGACCCCCTGTCGAGGATTTCCTCGACCGTTATTCACCCTGCTCCGAAATAGATTTCATGTTTTGGAAAGTTTGGCGCTAGCCCGATCAAAACCCTGATGAAGGTAGTTGAAAATGCAAAATGGGCGGTTATGCATTAAGCATTTCAGAAAGTTCTGTCGTTTTTCGACCCCGAATTTCAAATGCATGTATCTCGGCTTAAACCAAACCTTTCCGGTTGAAATAAAAATCGTTTGAATGCGCGAACCTTCCGCTATAAGAAGACGTTTCAGTGGGTACGTTTGTTCAGAATGCTGGAGCCCTGGAGGCGATGAACTGAGGGAAGGTCGTTTTAGCATCGGGTTGTGTTTTGAAGCATTTCTCTTCAAGGGAACTATCGAGGCCCCCAAAAAAGTGATAGTTGATAGCCAGAGGTATACTGAGTAGAATATCTGCAGCACCCTTCTTAGCCTAGCTGGACCAACTTGTGCAGGGTTGGTTGTGCGACATGCGTGTAGGACAACTGTCAGAGATGTGTCCGTCCCTTTATAATGAGAAATGCTGAACCCGTATTTTGAAGTTTTGGTGAATTTTGACATAATGTTAAGAGTTCTCCTCCACTGTAACAGTTCCACCTGATACGGGGAACTTGGCCAGCCGCTGACTTGATGAAAGTTGCCATAACCCTCCTTCAGCACAGTTTAAGTTTTGAAAGGTTTGTAGAGCTTGATCGCCGTCGAGCTATTCAGCAAAGCTTCGTGGGCTGTAGAAAAGAATCCTTTCTTCATTGTACGTCGCAAATCAGTAGAAAGGCGAGTCGCTTACATCACATAAAACAAGGTAGAAATTGAGGAACGACCTTCCGAATTGGTGCTTTGTCGCGGCACGCCCCTATCAAATTTTTTGGACTTTCCAGCTACTTCCGTATAGCTTGGCTCCACAAACCATATACGCCCAGGTTGGGCAGAACCTCCTCAATGGTCTTACGCACGAGTGCCTCAATCAGAACTTTTGGCTAATCGGTGGCAACGTCCGATATCCGACCACCACTCTTATCATACCCAAGGCTCTCGCTTTCGTTACAATAACTTTTTGAACTACTGCTTCTGAGCACATTTATTGCGAATCTAGCCAAGTGCATCGTTAATATCTTGAACTGTTCCCGCTACTTTCAGGTCTATTTAAAGCTAGAAAAAGAAAATCATGCCAACTTGCTCATCGAGTATACCGCATTCAAAGCTTTGAAAAAGCTATAAGAAAATGTTTTAGGACAAAGCTGAGCTAAGCATTGGATAGAGCTGGAAAAGCTCTTCAAAATGATATCCAACATCAATTGCAGTTTTCTAGATTTCAAGGGAAATGAAGCATCCAAAAGTGGAGTGTCAGAAAACGACAGAACTTTCTGAAACACCTAATAATTGCCATGAGGTGATATTAGGAGGAAAACTTCGAAGATATTCACGGAGAAAAGTTAGATAAAAGGAGGTATTTTGAGGGAATTTACATGTGGATTTCTCTCATGATGGCTGCGGCAGCTGGATGCGGTAGCAAGCTGAATACGTCCACTGACGATGGTGTACACTACTTGACGCTCCCATGCGCATTTAATACACGGTAAGTATTTAACTTGTGATCGGATAGCGTAAAGTATATGGTCATGATTCCGGTAGATGGAAGAAGTTGTAATGTTGATCGGTAATTCGTGATTCGGAGCTCTCAATAGGTGATTTCAGAATAATTAAAGATTTGCATGTTTCATAAGTTAAGCAGAGTAAAAATGTTCCATTACTCGAAAGACAACTTCACACAATATCGAATTAGGTGTTGTTTCTTTTCTTATCGCGACTAGCTCGAAGCCTATCCTGCAGTGTGACGCTAAGCAAAACGGTGGGTATAGGCGAGGTTCTTTGAGCAAAATTGACCTTTATCGCCCAGTTGCTAGAGCCCGCTCCATACAGATAAGCTAATTCCAATCAAGTATCAGAGGTACTTGACGCAACTGAAAAGGTTGCTGTAAATAAAATGCGATGACCTGAAAATTTCTGTCGAGTCTGTCGGTAAGTTGTTTCTGCTGACTTTCTAGGAGTTACTTTTCTATTAGGTTGTCTCATAAACAGTGTCGCTTTTTTTCAACCAAAAAATTTTCATCGAATCCCCATGCTTTTACATCGATCATATACCATTCGGAAAGAGAATTGTCTGCTCTACAAGACAATCGTGTTCCTCTTCCATCTATGTTCCATGGTTTTCAAATTTTAAGCCTGTGAAATGGGAGGTCCCGCCGACAAAAATTGACCAAACCGACAACTAGCTCTAACTTTATGTTCCCTTCGGAGAAATCAATCAATGATGTACCCTCTACTTACTCATGACCTCTTCTGAACATTCCACCCTTAGGTTGCCGAAAAAGTTTGCCCTGTTTCTTTTCGAATTGGCCGACCGATAAGCCATGGCAATTTTCAAATTGAAATTCTTCCTCTGAAACGCTATTGTTTTATATCAACTGGTGTATCTTTTGTGAGCTCTATTCGCTCATTGTTTTGTTTTATTTGTTGTTAGGAATTCTTCGAATTTTAGGTGTTTAGGAGTAAGGTGCTTTATCCACGAAAGTGACCGCATTTCTTTGAAAAAAATTATCCCTGAGAAGATGAGAAAATCAACCAGGCGTACATTCCTAACTTAGTCATGACTTGTTCTTTAAATTCTACTAGTTTTTCAATGTCTCGGCTATAAAAAAATTTCGACCTCGATCTCAGGTAATGGTGCTCGACCGTCGAGTTCTGGTTGAAAAACCAGGTCTGGAAATGGAATGATGCGACTTGTTGGGAAACCTAATAGTGTAATGTATAGAAGAGGTCATGCATAAGTAGTGGGTACAGTAATTGATTGTTTTCTCCCAAGAGGAAGATGACGGTTAGAAATAGTTGTCGGTTTGGTATTTTTTTGTCGGCTGGACCTCCCATTTCGCAGGCCTAAAACTTGAAAAAACCTATGGAATATAATGTAGAGCTACACAACGTATTTTCTGAATTGAAAAAGAAAGCGACACTTAGTTATGAGCAACCTACTTTCTACTACTGATGAATTCGGAAGCAAATTGAGCACAACCCACATTGGAGTTTGCAGTTGGTAGGGACGCTATCTAAGCTGCTGCGTAGGATGAGGTTCTGTAGAAAGTTGTAGTGATGTGGCACATTTGAAAGGGGTAAGTAATAGGAAGCACTTGTCCATCATTGTCCACCAGCTTCGAGCACTACACACGTTTTTAAGCCATCTGGAAACTACCCAAAGCCGCAGTGCCGTTTCTTCTTACTGGCATAATAATTTTCTAATACAAATAATACCAAAATATCAACCAACTTGACGTAATAATGAAGGTAAGTTGATCTGGGATGAACTGACCCTCGCGCATGGGAATGGTACTGTAGGTTCATGCTTAGCTCCCTTTCATGGCTACTAATGTTAAATGTTTATTCTACGATAGGGAAGAATGTCGAAATAAGGAAACTTGCCAAGTGTAGAGACAGGCGGACCTTTTAAGAGTGTGGACCGTCCCGCAATTCGCTCGGAAGGATATGCGCCGGCGATCTAGCATGACCTTGTATGCGGCGCTACTGGCGCGCTATCAGCGCGGTACGTCCCCTCTCGCTATCTGAGCCCCTGGCTGTTTGGCAGAAGGAGCGGTGTAGGGGTAGGGGAAAAGGAGATAGGTAATGTTGTAGAAGAACCTACTGAGAAAATGTGATAAAGGTGCATTGCCATCATGGAACTGGCGCAGGCGTAGCACTCCTTGTGTCAGAAAATAAGCAACACGAATGGCTTTGCTAGGAAAACGACAGCGTTCTAGAAAAGTAGTTCAGCACGATGCCAGAGACTCTCGGTTTTTTTGCATCCTTCAGAGAACGCGTATCATCGGAAATTATTGCAGTAGCTTCCAGTACTTTAACGCTTTCCTCGTGAGCAAGTCTGAGAGAACCTAATTTCTAATGGCATGAGTTTCCAGCTCGAAAAGGGTTTTATTATCTGTTGCACGATGGATTTATTCCTTCAGAAAAAAATCAAACTGCAATATACTCGAAGGTGTTTGTGAAAGTCATTGCCAAATCTGGGGCGATGTTCTTCTTGCAGACGAAATGTTTCATTTCGGTCTCACACCAGATATCATTCCACTGATAGGGGACCACGTACCCTACTCCTGGTAATGGAATGTTGTACATCTGGAAATAGAACCATTACCATCTGAACCAGCGCGTTACCTCCACTCTTTTCTCCTATATTCTTAGAATTTCTTTCTCTTTCTGATGAACACACAGACGAACTGCTGGTTGATCTTGTATGCAACTGATGCCTTCATCCACGTGGAGGTTGGTGTGTTTCTGGTTCGAAAACCTATCCATGCATCGCAAACTTTGTTTTTTCCGCAGCCAATAACAGGAAACATAGTTCCCCAGGAGGTACAGTTCCATATCCGACCGGTTGAGGGGGGCGGTCCCACGGACGTACCAGCGCTGCGGCCGCGACAACGCGGGGATGGAAGGTTGCCGTATCCCAGTGATTGAGTGGTGTCTGAGCAATCCGTCCTGCCGTCTGCATTCCTCCGCATGCACACTATCTTAGCAGTACGATGTTGAGCAGTGGAGAGAGCGCAGATGGAAAGGCTACGTCGTACTGCTAAGATAGTGTGCATGCGGAGGAATGCAGACGGCAGGACGGATTGCTCAGACACCACTCAATCACTGGGATACGGCAACCTTCCATCCCCGCGTTGTCGCGGCCGCAGCGCTGGTACGTCCGTGGGACCGCCCCCTCAACCGGTCGGATATGGACTGTATATCAGTGGGTTACATATCAGCTGTATGTACCACATCTCTCACGCAATCCACACCAAATCTCGCTCGAAGGCATCTACTACCATGGGTTCTTCGTGAACTTACTTGTTATAGTACAAGGGTATGCTAAATGCGCACAGTGGTAAGAAAGTAGTCATTCCCGTCAGAGATACGAAGGTCTTTCCTCTGCCAGGTGATTTTTGAATATAGACAAGATAGAGACATCATGCTTCAACTGATAACGCATTACCTAGCGAAAAAAAAACAGCTGCTCAAACTGAAATGCTCTTTCAACATGAACGAAGAAGGATGCAACAGCTAACAGCGCGCTGGTGCGTGGAGCACTGTGCGATGCGTTGCGGGCATTTCTGTGTAGGTCTTTGGGAAGTTTGCAGGATCGACTGCGCTGCTATAAGTCGCTTGGACACGGTGTACATGGCATACAGGGGTGGCCAAAAAAAAGACACTTTGCCCATGGCGCACATCATCGAACTTTTCGTCGCACAGGGAGCCGATGTTAATGAAAGTTTTACGGCGGAATATTCCTTAGGTGTTCCCCGTAAACAGAAGCAGGCCCTCCTTCACTGCCCCCGCCGTCTTCAGAATATGACGTCATCTGCCGTCACCGTCGAGCTCAACGAGGCTTACCGTAATCGCTCCGCCTGAAGCTGCTACACATAATTTCTTCAATGGATTAACTGTTGAATAGCTTCCCAGAGACATTAGCTGTGACTATGCAAAACCGCTTTTGACCAGCGTTTCAGGGACGTCGTAATGGTCTATGGTACCTCGACGACCTCGTTGAGCTCGTACCATGTTTCCGTGGGAAAATCTTCTGATGTCGTCGGTGTAGAAGGCTGTCATGTAACTTTAGATAGATTAGAAGTGCTCTTCAATACTGAGTTGGGGCAGTCGATTTGATTTAGCAAAGTGTGATTAATGCTGTCTGAAATGTGGAGTCAAGTGTCTCTTTTTTGGCCACCCCTGTATACTTTCCGTTTGCACACACCCTTTACCCTGTTCACCCTCTTAAAACTTCAGTGTGACTATGAGTAGGAGTGGAATTCAAGGAGAAGATTACCAGCCGGAATGGCCAGAATTCACTCCCTTTACATGTTCTTGTATGCAAACTAACATTACGTATACGGTAGTGACAAGTCGCGGTATCAGATTCTTTCGGCATGCAGAAAACTGAGTGACCGGTGGAGAAAAAGAAGGAAGCACAATTGACGATGAGGTCATACAAAGAGCCACGTGACTGATAATGTGTACAAAGCCTCGTTCGCCGCTACGATACCACCTATTCTTCATTCTGAATTTAGAGGGCGTTATTTGAAACTGTGGTGGGGGCGCAGTCGTCATCCATAGGTGCAATATTCTCTTGAAAAAAATTAATAAAAGAAGTATTTTTCCGTGGGTAACAAAAGTAGCAACCTGCGTGCAGTGTTCGCGCTTGTCTTTGTCGTCTGGTTGTCTGGGAGCCCAGTTGGAATAATCGAAAGGAGTTCCATCGGTCCATGTCCACACAGTGCTTACAGGCCAGTTTTCTTGTCTTAGACCAATCCAAACGAAGTCTTGCCAGTTCTTCGCCACTTCGATTGTTGAAGTTAATGCTAAATTAACTAACGATCAAAAAATTCAGGCCCAATTGCTTGTTGATTATCTTAATGTCAGGGAAAGAATAAAGAAAAGAGGGGGTTTTACTCCGATCAATAAACCTTGTAGCCACATTCGTAAACGTTTCAGCTCATTTCGTAAACTTGCAACCGATTTCGCCATTCTAAACTCCAACTTCGTCATTCTTGCAAGCAAATTCGTAAACCTTGCAATCAATTTCGGCAAAAATAAAAGCCCCAGGCGCTAGTTGGCCCCAGGTTTTGCCACGGCCCATTGCCAGAAAATTCGCTGTAAACTTGTTTGTAGGAACTATTTTGAGCCCCGATTACGAATATGATGTTCATTCTTGGCGCTGGCGCCAGCGCCAAAAATGAATGTCACATCGTAATATCAAGACCCTGAAGAACCACCGTAGGATAAGTTTCAGCGAAATTTTTATTTTTGCCGAAATTGATTGCAGGGTTTACGAAATTGCTTGCAAGAATGACGAATTGGGGTTAGAATGACGAAATTTGTTGCAACGTTTACGAAAGGGATCGAAACGTTTACGAATATGGCTGCAATGTTTAGGAATCCGGGGTGAAACCCTGCATTGTTGGTGATTTGCGCTGCCAAGAAAGGATTCTACTGCAGAGTAGACAAGCTGGGTAGAAATGTTTGCTGTGAAATTTCCTAATTTCATTCCCTCAATCCTCCGGGTGTACTCAACAGTACTGTATTGTTGGAAGTTTACAATAGTAAGCAATAAATCCAATGCGGGAGGGATGCAATAAAAGGATAAAGTTTAAAGCATTTGCCGTTGATCAATCCCTAGTTGAGGTACGGCACGTATTCTGATTTCAATCTGTAAATTCGTAGTGCGTTTAAAGGCAAAGTTCGGGCTCAGACCCACCTAATAAGCCCTTAAAGTGGCTAGAAGTGCATGGGACGCAACTGCAGGCGACTCGCCAAGTTCCCGCATCCAAATGCGTCACTAAGGCGCTAGGGGCCAAGGACTTTGACACGCTCCACCTGTTGCGACACGCTCCGCCCACCGCTCGATATTTTGTCTGCGTCGCAATGCTGATCTGCTATGCTCTCTCTTCTCGGATTTCTCTACCGCTCTCCGCGCTCACATTATCTCTCATCTCCCTGCCGGCCTTTTGAACTTCTCCGCAACGTAGAGCAAAAGGCTCGTATTTCCTGTGTATTTCACGAATTTTTTTCCTTTTTTCTCCACTGGCGGTCCACCTCCCGCCCCTACATCACATTTGAGTAGAATTACCTCATCAGTTTAAGCTTGAATCTTGCCTTTAATGCGATGTGGCCTATACAATGACTTGCGGGGGCCAGCCGATGTTCAAGTCAGTGTTTTTATCCTCCCAGACAAGTCTGGTACCAATTAACCGACCCCGGAGGGATGGAAGGCTTGGTTTGGCCCGGGCGACTCACGACCCAGGATTTGATCCCGGACCGCTCGCGTGGTAAGCGCGCCACTTGCCACTACACCACTTCCGCCCGAGGGATGCAATCCCTCGTGCGGAAGTGGTGTACTGGCAAGTGGTGTCCAACGAAAATGACAACACTTTGGATGCAGTGGAAATGTGATGAGTTCATAAGCAAGAGAATAACTAGAGGCAACAAGATACCTTCATTTCCGCAAGGCCCTTTTTATAGAGGCGATACCATCCTTACAACCCTTGCTTACTACTTCGATGCAAAATGACTGAAAACGTACACTGAACAAAATCGTTTTCTTCAGCGCTGTGAATTGAAACCAGGTGTCCACCATCAGCATTGCACTGCATTTCGGGGCATTCTCAAAGGTAGCAGGCTGATCATAGCGCTAAAAGGATACATGCACTTCAGATCGCTTTTGTGTAAGAAGCCGGAAATTCATCGCATATGAAAGATTTCCAAAAAAAGATTGCTGTTCGTATAACTTCGTATAACTTGTATCTCTGACAGCGTTTTTCGCTAAAATCCACATCTTCCAACAAGCTTCATTTTGATTTACGACTGAACATCTCCAGTGCATGGAGCGAACACTTGTGAAAGCAACCCAAAACCAGTAAAAGAAAGGTATTGGTTCGAGGTGCACGCAACGTTAATATAATCGGCGAAAAGTACCTTTAGATAAGCTGCGCTTATACCCAGAGTCAACCCTGCGTTGCGCAGTTTCGCCCGATTAGACACGTTCTCTCGCGCGAACATTCACACTCGCATGCTCGAGCCGTCTGCGTCTCCGCCCATACAGCGTGCGTTGAGGATCTCTCGAACGTGCCGTTGCGAACTGCGCAACGCAGGGTTGACTCTGCAGACCCCTCCCCATGGCAGTGATATAGCCTGAGAAGAGCGGCAGAGTCTGCGACGGCACGGGATTAACGCTAAAGAAGAGGAGGATGATTTCTGTGGAAACAATTACGGGAGAGGGTAGCGGGAGAATTCAAAGACGCATCTCATAATTACCAGTCGATATCCGAAAGTTGGGGTAGGTGTGTCACCGGAAGTGACGTGCACTTGATAGAAGTTGCGTGGATGCTGTTGCCAGCATGCTTTGCTGATATCCAGCGATGTATGTTGGAAGCAGCTTATCCACATAGCTTCTATCAAGTGCACGTCACACTTCCGGTGACACGCCTACCCAACTCTCAGATATCGAAGTATAGGTGAGCGGATTGTGTGATTGTGGTCGTTGAAGGGAGTTGATAGAAAAAGAGGCATGAGCTATAGGACATTCAAAGGCACTGGTCGGGATTGGGCGACAAAAAGAAACCGCACTGTCGATAATATGACCGGGTCTGCAACCATAAAGGTGATGTCGGTCTCGTGACTCGAAACCGCGCAGCTATAACAACCCTGGTCTAGCATTCAGGACAACGTGTGCTATGAGCGCCCACCGCCAGAAGTGCGTGGCTAGCATAAGGCGTGAAATCAGCTGGGTGTTGCCGTATCAATCGCTTCCAGAAGAATGTTGACTATGTCCGAAAAACTGAGCTCGGACATGCATCAAAAATCCAACCTCATCCGCCGCTGTTAGAGAGAGAGATTTCATTTTGGGTTTTCGTCGACGGATTCTTCCCGCTTTTTCTTCACGGGTGCTACATTTCCCATCTCTGCGCTCAATTTCAAGCGCCAAGATACCCCAACTCGATCCCGACCCGTGCTTTTCAAGAGGAGCGAATATGAAGAAGTCTCAGAAACGATCAAACAAAAAGCCTATTCATTACTGCCAAGCTGGCTGGCCCCTCTTCCTTATTCCCAGTCCCTGCCGCACCTTCCTCACCACCACAAAAGGCGATCAAGGATGAAAGTTCACCAGTTCATGAGCGCGAGAAACTAGAACTGAACGTGGAACCCTTTTAAATAGGAGAAGTCAAGTGGACAGCAATTGAGAAAAAATCAGCTGGAGGGCGCCAGATAAAGAAAAACTCGCCCAAACAAGCCGCAACCAAGTATGAATACTCATTAATGAGAGGGGAGTTGGGTGCTGTTCGGTTTCTTTTCCTTTATTGGATAACCGGCTCAACGCTTGCGCTTGCCAAGCGCGACTTACCGCGAACTGTTGGATGTGCCTTCAAGTGTTGAAAAAAAGCACAGTATTGGAGCATATTCCTACTGCCTCATGTTGCAGTTTTACGTTTTTCTGACATCGAATGAACTTCGCCTGTCGGGTGAATCCTTGCTACTTTACGATTGATATAGCAGCGTGTACCCCTTTCGGCTCATATATTATATATTAGATTACTGTTTAAAATGGTAGCCACGTGGAGTTGTGTGCCAAGAGATTGACAGGAGCCTCGATCAACACATATTATTGTCCAGCGAACTTGAGGCTTTGTGTCACAATAGTGATAGTGCAATTCTAAAGAAAGAAGCTGGGCTAAAAAAGTACGGGTTTGCTTTGTTGCACTGCGTGAATGTACCTTAGAAAGGCAACAAGAGGAGCTACCTTGTATGAGTAGCCATTCCAAGTTTTCCAATCCTCTGTCCGGTAGTCGCAGATTATGGCTAGAAGAACCGCAGCTCTCATATCAATTGAACAGCCTGAAAATTTTGAACGGAAACGAAAGAAGGTCAATCCAATAGTAGCATACTGCTTTATAAAGAGGGAGATGTTCATGAGTGCCAGCACAAAAGTAGTAACTATGGCCTGTTGTGTGTGGTTTGTGCCACCGTGATGGTGTCAACACCCTAAGCCAGTACCTATGGCTCAATCTCAGTCTTTTATATCTAATTTTATGATCCCTTAAAATTTTTCGAATGGTTCTAGATCATGGCCCGTTTCTCTGTTTATGTCAGATGAATAACGGAAATAAATGTAAATGAAAATTTTGCATTTTAAAGCCCAAAAGAAAGCACCACTAAAAATGATTCCCACGTTGACAATTCTTTATCATTCCGCAAACGGTTTAATAGCAAACTAAAATGGTGAGAGCTTCTGTGAAGAGCTCGCAAAAGGACAAAAATCACCCGTTTCCTTGTTTCGTTTTTCGAAAGACGTGACAAAAGCAAAGCAAAATGTTTTGGGGTTGACGTTATCGCGTGATAAGTACTGATATACGTAATCGCGATACACTAATAATGAGAGGGTCGTAGTAAACGAGACCGAATAAGACAGATTAGCCCTTGAGTATTGTCTGCAGTTTTCTATTACATTTTGGGGTGAAACTCCAGTTTGGGGGGCCACTCCATTTTTTCTCCAATACTCAAGATAAGAATTAGAGGCTACACGACACGTAAGTCGACATTCATTTAAAGGAGGATTGCACGGAAAGAACGAAGGTCGAAGAAGGGAGAAATCGCCTAGTGGGGAGAGCGGTGAATCTCTTGAGGGTGCGGACAGACACGCAATCGGCATCGAAAGATTTGACCTCTGAGATCTAGCATGGCTCAAAGTTGGCGAGTTCGGCGATCTCCGCCCACCGATCGTCTGATCACTCGCCGTAGTTCAATACGTGGCGAGTGATTAGATAGCTGAGAGAGCGTAGGGTTGAAGAGGGCAAAGCGATGAGAGTCCCATCAATGCTCAAATCAAACAAGGGGTCCCATTTCTCCGGTTCTGGGCCGTTTTTCGTGGTTTCGCTTTCTTTCTGGTACTACTCACCATCTCTACCTCAATTTGGAATGGGTTGCTTTTCCATCGTAAATTCGTCCTTTAAAGTAGACTTCTGATAAATATTGGTGTAATGGGTGAGAAACCCTGAAACGTTTTCACATTTCCGCCTGCCATGACCCAAGGGAACGGTCCTGGACCAGGAGAAAGGACACCTCCGCAAAGGGCTAAGGGTGCAGGAGCTCCAGGGTGGATCACCTGTGCAGAAAAGTGGATGGGATGTGGGCAGGTAGTGTGGAATGTAGGACATCCACCGGTCCTTATCAAAAGTACGCTCGAAATGAGTCGTTCACTTATTATCTTATCCGTAGTGTTCGATAGCCCAAAGAACTGCTCTCTAGTACTACGGATAAGATAGCAATGGAGTGCCCCCCCCCCGAACTGGAGTTTCACCGAATCGTATAAATGGAAGTCGTATTCAACGAAAAATAACCCAAACCAATAAAGTCTAATCTATATCTGTTTTGAAATCACTTGATGATGGAGCCTTAATTACCCAAGACCGACCTCTTCTTAACATGCGACTGCAGGGTGGACTAACAAATTCACCGGCGCAATATGGTGTTGGACATTATCACGTTGCTGTTAACAAATTGGTTTTTTTTTCACTGGAAGTGGATGCACATATTGTATCTAAGCGAGAAATTCTATCCTCGTGAGACGATGAAGAAGTGGTGAGACGTCCAGAGGGACCCATATCTAAGTACAAGGTGCAGGCCTGGTCCATTTCATTGCCTTTTTGAGGAAAAATTTGCGTTGAAATAAAGTGTCCATTCTCGTTTACTGGAACCCTCTTAAGGTGATCCATAGAATTTTACCACCTTTATCGAGAATAAAAGGAAACCAGGCGCTCAAGTGCCACGACCCTTCAAGCTTTCTTGCGGCTCGCATGAGGAATCCACCCACATCAGCCCACTGGCGGCCCTCTAAATTAGTTTTTCTTGACACTTCACTTCGGTTGAAGAGATGAGAAAATGAGTCGGTGAATTTATCGCTTCGAAACTGATGCCGCATTAACGTAACGGCATAGCCGGTTTTGACAGAAACATGGAGAAGGGGTTGGATGAAACAATGGAAATAACTCAGATTATATAGCTTTGTATAAGTTTCTTTACACCAATTTTTATCGAGAAGAAAAATGAATAAAATCAAGTTCTTTATCAAAGCAGGGATCGAACTCGCGGTTTTTTTTTCAGAGGTGCACACATGAGTCTACTTGACCACTGGGCCATCCCTACATGTTTCCCATGCGGTATTGAAGTGGCGGAACTACTTCGCACAGGAGACTACAGCCTGGAAAAAATGTTGACCAGTGAAAGGATTCGGCGTCCGATTTGGACCTGCTGTGCCCTCCTATCGAAAGGTAACCCCGACGAACTATTGTTGCAAGACCGCCAAGTTCAGGAAGTTTCCAGGTACATGATTGACAGTGGTCTGACCTTCTTTGGAAAAGTGTAGATTCCTGGCCATAGAAATTTGCCAGTATTCACGTGAGTGTAGCACGAGTTCAGTCAACATCTCCTATTCCTATACCAACCCTACGCGGTGGCTGAACAGTGCCACTACTGCTAGTGGGAGATGATTGTTTCATGCTACTCACCTGCAAACCTCATGTATGAAAAGCAAAGCGCAATCCAGCCACTGAGAACTTATCTTCGGCTTCGACCTTGTAATGGCTAAGTCTCCTGTACT